AGCTGAGGGCTCCCTGCTCCTGCTACAGCTTTGACCCCGTTAGGAGGAATTTGACATTTTGTGTGTCAAAAGCAGCTCCAGAGGAAGCTGAAGCAACCTGGGGGTGAAGCAAACCCGGGGAAGTCTTGTGCTAATTGTGCCTTGTGTTAATTAATTGCGTCTTGCTTCAGCTCTTGCTGCTTTGGGGAAGTTTCTGGAAGGTTCCTTCCCGGAGCTGGGCGGTTTCAGGGCTTTGAGTCACCCTTGGGAAATCAGCTCTGCTGCTTTTCTGCCCCAAAAAGGGTTTGGGAAGCTCCCAGCCAGCTTCTCCCTCTGAAAAGCAGCTAATTATTACTAATTCACCTTTTTGGGGTGTTCTGGGTGAGGGATTGGGGTTGTTTCACGTTCTTGTCCACAAATAAGTTTTTAAGCCCAAAACTTAAAGTGTCCACCACCATCTGTGGAGCAAAAATGCCCTAAAAAGGGTTTTTCTGCAGAAATTAGTGCTCATCCTCCTCCCAGCTCCTGCCCACCACCAGAGCTCAGCCTTGGGACATCTGTGCAGAATTTCCAGGCCAAAAAATGGGAGTTTTTGGCCTGGAAATTCATCAAATCCTGGGTGCAACCCCAACCTCTGAGAGCCACCAGCAGCTGCTGGGGTGAATCCCAAATTTCCAGTCCCAAAGGTGAGAAAGGAGAGAAAAAAAACCCAGAAAAACCCACAGAGACACCGGAGAGCTTTGGAAATCTTTATTTGGCAGCAAAACCACGGCGCTGGGAGGAAGAGGAGGAGGAAGAGGAGGAGGAGAGGGAGGGTTTTAAGGCTGGATTCAGCTCTGGAAGCTTCTCCGAGCTCCAGGATTTTGTCCAGAGGCGCTGCCTCAGTGGTGGTGCTGGTGCTGGTGGTCCCAAAGTCCCAAAGTCCCAAAGGTGGATTTAGGAGAGGAAAAGAGAGAAAAAACCCAGAAAAAACCACGGAGACACCGGAGAGCTTTGGAAATGTTTATTTGGCAGCAAAACCACGGCGCTGGGAGGAAGAGGAGGGAGAGAGGGAGGATTTTAAGGCTGGATTCAGCTCTGGAAGCTTCTCCGAGCTCCAGGATTTTGCCTGGAGGCGCTGCCTCAGTGGTGGTGCTGGTGCTGGTGCTGGTGCTGGTGCTGGTGGTCCTCCACCTCATGCAGGTGCTCGTGGGTGGCACAGGTGACACGGGTGACCAGCAGCATCATCTCCCCAAAGCTGATCTGGGCGTCCTTGTTGACATCCAGGTCCTTCATGATCTGGTCGATGGTGGCCTTGTTCTTCACGTGCTGTGAAGGAGAAAGAGGGGACAAAGTGAGGGCAAAATCTTGGTTTATCCCTGGGGGGACAAAATTTTCCTTTGGCTTTAGGAAGGTGAGCTCCGAACCAAAAAAATGGGGTTTTTTGGGGGCTGTTTGTGGTGTGGCTTCCAGGAGGAAAAGGAGATTTTGGTCTGATTTTTGCAGAGAAGGGGATGAGGGTTCCTTCGTGGAGGACGTTTGGGATGGGGTGATTGAGCAGGAGAGCAGAGCAGGGAAGGGGCTGAACTCAAACCCTGGGGACAATCCAACCCCTCACCTTCAGGTAATTGGCCAGCTGCTTGTCAATCATCATCTTGAGCTCCTTCTTGGTCAGGGTGTCCCTGTCGCCCTCGCGGCGCGAGAACTGGTGGAAGACGTCGATGATGACGTCCATGGCCTTCTCCATCTCCGACAGCTGCTCCTGGCTCTGCTGGCCCTGCAGGAGAAATGGTCATTGGGAATGTCCAGGAGAATCTGGGATATCTGGGCTGGAACCAGGAGAATCTGGGATATCTGGGCTGGATCCAGGAGAATCTGGGATAAATGGGCTGGATCCAGGAGAATCCGGGGAGGAACGTTCCTTTCTGGAGCTGTTGGAGGCTGAAGGACCTCCTTGTCCAAGGGGGCTGAAGGAGAAAATCTGGGGAGGAACTGTTCCATTTTGGAGCTCTTGGAGTTTTCTCCGAGGAGGCTGAAGGACCTCGCAGGCTCTGTGCACCTACAGATGAGAGCTCAGAGCTGCTTTTGGCCCCAAAATGGGCCTGGTCTGAGGCTGGTTCTGCAGATAAACCAACCAGAGAAGGTGATAACACCCCAAAAACACACAGCAGCTGATAACACCCCAAAAACCTTCAGTGGGGACACCAAGCAGGTGAACAACACCCTAAAAATCCTCTGTAGAGACATCGAGCAGGTGACAACACCCCAAAACTCTCTGTAAGGACACAGAGCAGGTAACAACACCCCAGAACTCTCTGTGGGGACACAGAGCGGGAGATCTGATGTCCAGGAGCCTCTCTGGTGACCGGGAACCTCTTCCAGGAGGAAACCTCTGTCCTCACGGGCTCTGGAGATGGTTTTGCCCAGCCGGGACCCCAGGTGGAGATGGAGAGAAGCCCCCTGAGGATCCTCACACCTGGGATGACCTGGAAAAGAGCACGGACACCCCAGATACCCCCCCTGCACTTGCCTTGCTCATCTTGTCACCGCAGCGAGGTCCCCTGGGGCGGGTGCAGGGCCGGTGCCACCTCGGTGTCTCTTATAGCCCAGCCATGAAGCGTCCCTGTTGTGAAATGTCCCCATCCCGTTCCTGGCTGGCCCCACACGGCCCCTGGCATTGCTCAAGGCTCCGGGAAGTTCCCCAAAAGGGGCTCTGTGGCTTTTCCCGCAAGCTCGGGGTGTCACCGGCTCAGGTGGGGGTGGCCCTGTCCCCTCACCTGCTGGGATTCGCCAGCAGCTCTGGGCAAAAGCCCCTTCCCTCGGGATTCTTCCACATCTGGGATTTTTCCACATTTGGGATTCTTCCACCTTTGGGGTTCTTCCACCTTTGGGATTCTTCTACATCTGAGATTTTTCCACATTTGGGGTCCTTTCACATTTGGGATTTTTTCCACCTTTGGGGTTCTTCCACTTTTGGGATTTTTCTCAATTTTCCTCCTTTCCAGGGTTGTTTGCTGATGCCAGGGTGTGAAGGTCACCCCCTGCCCTGCTCATCCCCAAAATGTCCCCACCCTTGGTCCATCCCAGTGCCCCAGGACTTGCCAAAAACCTCCAAAATCACCAAGCCCGACCTTTGACCCTTCACCAGAGCAGAACACCGAGTGCCACCCGCTCCTGGCAGGGCTGGCTGTGTCACACGGGGCACAGGTGGCACCGGGAACGTCCCCAGCCTGCGGCAACCAGCCGTCCATGAAAGACGATCCGGGCGTGTTCCCGGCCTGGCCCAGCTCCACGAGCTCCGTTACATCCATGCCAAGGGCGGTTTGTCCCCACCCCAGGTGTGCCCTGAGCTGCAGAGCCCAGGTGTGGCTCAAAGGCGAATATTTATTTCGCTTTCCAGGGCTCTGTCCTGGATTTTGTGGCTTTTTTTGTGTTGTTGTTTCTCGGCCTGGCAGAGGCCCAGCGCGGGCCTGGCAGCTCCAAGATGCCAAGCTGGGGAGAAAAACGAGATTTTCCTGCATTTCCTCATCAAAATGAGATGCCTGCTGACTCAGCACGCTTGTCTGGGGTTGGTTTGACCAGCCCAGCTCAGGCTGGTCTCGTCATGGTTGGTCTCAGGTTGGTCTTTGCCCTCCTGGTTTTGGAGGCCAAAACAAGGCCTAGGCCTAGTTCAGGAGCTCCTTTCAACAGGAATTTCCTCCTGGAAAGGGCAACCAGGCCATGGAGGTTTGGAGTCCCCATCCCTGGAGGTGTCCAAGGAAGAGCTGGACATTGAGTGACCAGGTGGGGACAGGTCACAGGTTGGACATTGGTGACCAGGAGGGGACAGGTCACAGGCTGGACATTGGTCTGGGTGACCAGGTGGGGACAGGTCACAGGTTGGACATTGGTGACCAGGTGGGGACAGGTCACAGGTTGGACATTGGTCTGGGTGACCAGGTGGGGACAGGTCACAGGTTGGACTCCATCTTGGAGGCCTTTCCCAAGTGAAAGGACCCCAGGATTCCATCCCCAGCCCCCAGCCCTGGCTGCTGGGGTGCTCTGCTTTCACAACAGGCACGTTCTGCTGCAGAACAGGACATCTGGGGACATCGGGCACATTTCACAACGGGGTGTCCGGGGGTGGCCGCGGCGTTGCAGAATTTTGGTGCAACTTCAGGAAACCTCCTTGGGTCACTTTGGTCACCCTGGAGGTGCCAGGGGGACAAGGATGGGGGACAGGGTGTTCCAAGGTGGCCTGAGCCAGGGGTGACCCCCAGGTGTGAGTGGTCACTGGAGGCACTGAGGGACAAGGGGCTCACAGGGACAGGTGCTGGCACCACTTTGGTGGCTCTGCAGGTGTCCTTGCAGGAGAACCTCCCTGTCCAGCTGTCCCCAAGGTCCAGGCTCAGCCAGGGATCCATGAACCGGAGCAGAAACAGCCCAGGACCTGCTGGGAGGTGCCCAGGGACCCACAGGAACACCCTGAGTTGCAAAGAGTTGCAAAATTCTTTCAAAACTCACTTTTAGGGGCAGGAGAGCGGCTGGTGTGGGGAGAGGGAGCAGCAGCTTTGTCCCCCTGGGGTCCCAACACCACAACATCCCAACTTCTCAAATCCCAAATTGTCATCAAGCAGAGAGTTCCCAGTCCCTGAGATACAGAACTTGGGATTTTGGGTGTTTGGGTGTTGCCTCAGATCCAAGATTTGGGATTTTGGATGTTTGGGTGTTGCAGTTTTGAGATATGGAAATGCCTGAACTCTGTGTCTCTCCCGGAACGGCAGAAAATCATCATTAGCACATCCTGAAATCCCAATATCCCAAACCAGAGGATTTTGGGCACTGGGAACATTTTGCTTCATGAGGATTTTTTGACAAAACCATCGCTTCAGGTGACCCCACCCACCCCTCTCTGTCCCTCCTGCCACCCCCACGACGGATGAGGAAAAGCTCAGAGAACTTCAAGTGCTGCTTTATTGTGCCATGGGGCTGCTCCAGGCGGGCAGGGAGCAGCCAGAGCCCAATCCCCCAAGCTTCCCTCTCCCGTTTTTCCACGGCCAGGCTCAGTCTTTGTCAGGCCCGCAGCGCTCGGAGCCGTGGCTGATGCGGTGGGCGTCATCAGCCAGCTTGCTCAGCACGATGGTGAACTCCTCGAAGCTCACCTCCTTGTCCTTGTTCAGGTCGCTCTCCTGGAAGAGCTTCTCCAAGTAGCCAGGCCGGTTCCTGTCCTGAATTTGGGGACACGAGGAGGGGTCATGCCCCTGTCCCAGCTCCACTCCAAGAGATCCAATGGTTTGGAAGCTGCAGGATGTCCCAACCCTCCTCTACCTCACCTTTAGCCCCAAATTAAATCCCAGAGGAGACAGGATTTTGTCCCAAATCCCTGTGGTTGGGGGCACAGTGGCTTTTAGGAGAAATCCATTGGACCAGGCCAATTTTGGGAGAAATCCATTGGAGAAGGCCAATTTTTGGAGAAATCCATTGGATCAGGCCAATTTTGGGAGAAATCTGTTGGACCAGGCCAATTTTGGGAGAAATCAATTGGAGAAGGCCAATTTTGGGAATCACCAACAATGAACTTGCACCGCTTTTCAACTTATTGAGAGGAGACTGTGACATTAGAACTCCCAGAAGTTCTAATCCTCACGGCCTAGGCCCAAGAAGCCCTTGAGAAGTTTGGTGAGGTCCTTCAACAAAGACAAGCACATGGATGTCACAGATATTTCTCCTTGCAGTGTCAGGAGAAAAAAATGCAGTTGTGTGGTCTCAGATTTCAATAGGACACCTCAAAGAGGGATCCGAATGGATTTTCTTATCCTACAGATCTCCAAAACCAATTTTTACAACATTAGAAACAACAGCTTGGGTCATAATCAGAGCCAGAGCGAAATTGCTGACAACGGGAAAGATTCCACAATTTATCTGCCAATTGAAAAGAGAATCTTCTTTTGGGCATTACGAAAACCAGAAAAAGCTGCAAATTGCATGGCTGGACTGCTCAGGTGTGAGTTTAGTTCACTTCACACCACCACGCACGTGGAATCTTTTGATTTAGGCGTTGCAAAAACCAGAAGAATCTCAAACTGCAGTTTGGACTGTGCCTGTCTGATTCGCTTCCCACCACCACAAGCAGCAGGGGTGGCCCCAACCCAGCTGTGACAGAAACCCCCCCATGCCCCGGGAGCTCCCGAACCCCATCCCCGCGGGGTTGTCCCCCGGGCACTCACGCATGTCCCCAGGAAGGACGGCGCCTGCTCCATCAGCAGCGTGGTGAAGTCGCTTATGTTCAGGAGGTCGATCTCACCCTGGCGGATGCTGTACTGGTGGAACATGTCCACCACGGTCTGCAGGGCCTTCTCCAGGGTGCAGTTCCCCGGGAGCTGCCGGCTCCCGGCATGGCTGTGGGTGCTGGTGGACATGGCTGAGCTCTGGAGGGACCTGCAGGGGTTGGGGACAAACCTCGACATGTGAGAGGGGACAAAAATCAGCGGGAGCTGCGCCTGAGCCTGGGGGCACCTGCAGCTCTTTGGTGTGGAGCAGAAAATGAGGGGATTTGGGGGCATTGCTCCAGTTTGGCTTCGTCGAGGAAGCAGCTTGTTCCGACACACCTGGGGACATTTTTCAGGTGAGGGAAGTAGGGACAGGCCAGTGGGGGCATTTAGGACACAGAATTAGTGGTGCCTCCACCAAAGATGCCACCAAAATCCCATTAATTTGTCCTCATTTTCCAACCCCAACCAACCTCCTGCCCTACCCCGAGGAGAACCCATCGCCCCGAGCTGATGGATCCCAAACTGCTTCTCCCTCATCCTTTTCCCTGCAAGGACCATCCTTGTCCTACTCACTCTGGTCTCCGAGGAGGGTTTGGATCCGTCAGTGTGACCCAGGAGCCTGGAGCAGCCCTTTTATACCTGTCTGAGGTCCTGTTTCATCAGAGCTGGTGACACACCTGCCACAAGCATCAGCTTGAGTTCACATTTCCCGCACCTGGAAATTGCCAGGTGGGAACCCTGAGCCCCTCCCGGCCTCATTCTTCCTCTTCAAGTTCCTGGTTGCACCCACCAGGCTTTGGAGATGTTGTCCTTGGCCCCTCCATCACCTCTGACAGGGCTCAGGGAGGGGAAAAACCCCGGCTTGGTCACACCTCCATGTCGAGGGCAAGGCCTTTCGGGCAGAAGTTGCCAAAACTTGGGGAGTTTTGCAACACGACAAAAAAATTTGCACATTTTCCTTCTGCTGTAGGAGCAAACTGGGCTGTTGCACATGGAAACAGGGATGACTTTGTCCCCTGGGTGAGTTTTTAATGTGATTTCTGTTTCCTGCAACGTCAACTGGTTGGACGCTGCCCAAGACAAAGCAGCATCTGTTTTTTATAACTTGTTTTCCAGAATATTTTCCATTGTTTTCTACTTGTACTCTGCTCTCATTCCAGAGATTTTCTGGAGGAAACTGGGCACAAAACCAGGAGAAAACCCAAGGCCGGGGTCTTTTCTGGCTGGTGCAGGAACTGCTGCATGTTTTGCAATTGTCACCTCTTTGTCACCCATGTTAGGGACAAGGACGAGCAGATTTAAAATCAGACAATGAGAAGGTTTAAAAATCAGACAATGAGAAGATTTAAATTTGGACCATGAGAAGGTTTAAAATCGGACAATGAGAAGATTTAAATTCAGACCATGAGAAGGTTTAAAATTGGACAATGAGATTTAATTTTGGACCATGAGAAGATTTAAAATCAGACAATGAGAAGGTTTCAAATCAGACAATTAGAGGATTTAAATTGGGACCATGAGAAGGTTTAAAAATCAGACAATTAGAAGGTTTAAAATCAGACAATGAGAAGGTTTCAAAATCAGACAATGAGAAGGTTTCAAATCAGACAATGGGTAGGAGGAAGAGGGAAGGACCAGCCAAACCAGGGGTGCCCGTTCCTGTTTGAGGATGCTCCTGTGTCCCCGGGGCATTGCACGGATTTATTCCGGTATCCCTGACTCACTGCATTGCTCCTTTTGTTTCCCGGCCCCGCTCCTTGCAGGCTGGCACCCATCCCAAACTGGGATGTCAAATTGGAGTGTCACCCATCCCAAATTGGGATGTCAAATTGGAGTGTCACCCATCCCAAACTGGAGTGTCACCCACCCCAAACTGGGATCCCAAACTGGAGTGTCACCCACCCCAAACTGGGATCCCAAACTGGAGTGTCACCCACCCCAAATTGGAGTGTTACCCATCCCAAACTGGGATCCCAAATTGGAGTGTTACCCATCCCAAACTGGGATCCCAAATGGGAGTGTCACAGATCCCAAATTGGAGTGTTACCCACCCCAAACTGGGATCCCAAATTGGAGTGTCACAGATCCCAAATTGGTCTGTCACCCACCCCAAACTGGGATCCCAAATTGGAGTGTTACCCATCCCAAACTGGGATCCCAAACTCGAACGTCATTGATCCCAAACTGGAGTGCCACCCACCCCAAACTTGAGTGTCACCCACCCCAAAATTGAGTGTCACCCACCCCAAATTGAATCCTGGTCCCCCAGCTGGCAGGGAAATCCTCTGGTTCTCTCATGCACCTCCCACACTCAGCCCCTTTCCCAATTTTCCCACTTTTTCCCTCAAACCCGTGGGGGAGCAGCTGGCCATGCCCAGCCCTGCAAGGACAGCGATGCCCGAGTGACGCGGGGGTGGCAGTGAGTGACATTTGCCTCGAGGGACAAGGGTGGCACCCCAAATCCAAAGCTGTCGTGTGTCACCGAGGTGCCACCCAAACCCCACTGGTTTCACCCGGGACAGGCCCTGGTTTGGGGGACGTTGGAGCCTCCTCAGCCCAGGGGTTCCCCGCTCAGGGATGTGTCCCAAAGCGTGAAAGGTTTGACTCGTTCTGCAGAGTGGCAGCTGCCAAGATGGAGCCCCCAGAGCCCCTCAGCCTCGTGCTTTGCTCTGCTGGGGCTGCTGGGCTCTTTTGGGGTCACAAAAACATCTCACACACGTCTGGGAAGTGGCGCCTCTGGAATGCAGCACCCCTGGGATGTGGCACCCTTGGGATCTGGCATCACCGGGATGTGAGACCCTTGGGATCTGGCACCCTTGGGATCTGGCACCCTTGGCATGTGGCACCCTTGGGATCTGGTGTCCCCAGGAAGTGTCACCACCAGGCTGTGGCATCCCCAGGCTGTGGCACCCTCGGAGTGTGGCACCCTCGGAGTGTGGCACCCTTGGGATCTGGCACCCTTGGCATGTGGCACCCTCGGGATTTGGTGTCTCTGGGATGTGTCACCCTTGGGATGTGTCACCCTTGGGATGTGGCACCCCCAGGATGTGGCACCCCCAGTTCCATGGCTGGGTCTTAGCAGAGACTTGAGGAAGGACCCCCCCAACCGTGTTTCACTTTTGGCACTTCCTGGACCTTCACCCTCAGATCTGACACCCTCCAGGAGCCCTGTGCTGCCCACTGAGGACCCCCCAAAATCTTTTCCTGACCCCCCCCCCCCTTTGCCCAGAACAAGGTCCCCCCCATGCCACTCTCCCCTCCCCATTATTTTTCCCTTCAGTCTGGGTTTAATCACAGGCTGGGCCTCACCCCCTCCCCACAGACCCCAGAACACGGCACACGGATGGGTTTGGTGCTCAGAGGAAGGGATTTTATTTCAATGCCACAAAGTAGAAGCAGGTGACAAAGATTTGGTTCCGGACAAGGGGGGACACAGAGTCCCGTGGCTTGGCCACTGCGGGAGATGGCTCCATTTCAGTGACGGTGGCTGTGCCCATGCCCATGGTCATGCCCGTGGTCGTGGCCGTGGTCATGCCCGTGGTCGTGGCCGTGGCCATGGTCACCACCAGGGCCCTGGTGGAACCTGTTGTGGGCATCAATGGCCACGAGGCTCAGAGTGGTCAGGAACTCGGTGAACTTGAGGCGGCCGTCGTGGTTGGCGTCAGCTTTGGTGAAGAGCTGCTTGATGTAGCTGTCCATGGTCATTTTGGGCTGCGGAGGGAGCACAGTCAGCTCGGGGTCACTCACCCTTAGCCAGCAAGGCCTGAACCCCAAAAAACCCTCCCTCGCTTTGGGAAGGTCCCAAGATAAAGTTCTGGAATGTTCTGCCCAGGGAGGTGGTGGAGTCACCGTCCCTGGATGGGTTTAAACAAGCCTGGATGTGGCACTGGGTGCCAGGGTTGAGTTGAGGGGTTGGGGTTGGACTCGATGATCTTGAAGGTCTCCTCCAACCAACCCAGTGATTTTGGGAATTCTGTGAACCCTCCCCATCCCCAAGGAAGTGCCCAAGGATGAGCTCTGAGCGCCCCAATCTAGTGGGGGGTGTCCCTGCCCAGCATCCGTTGAATGAGAGGATCTCCCAGGCCCACTCCCACCCATCCCATCCCATTGATCCCATCCCATCTCATCCCATCCTATTCCATCCCATTGAACCCATCCCATCCCATCCCATTGATCCCATCCCATTGATCCCATCCCACTGATCCCATCCCATCCCATCAATCCCATCCCATCCTATTCCATCCCATCCCATCCCATTGATCCCATCCCACCCTATCCCACTGATCCCATCCCATCCCATTGACCCCGATCCCATCGATCCCGCCCCACTGATCCCAGCCCGGGCTCTCACCGGCACCGTGTTCTTCAGGAAGGGCTCGGCCGTCTCCTTGAGCAGCCTGGAGAACTCCCCCAGGCTCAGGTAGTCGTCCAAGGGGCGCTGCGCCGCGAACCGGTGGTAGACGTTGACGGCGCATTCCAGCGCCAGCTCCAGGTCGGTTTTCATCCTGCCGGGAAAGGGACAAACGGCAAAACATGGAAGGGAACCCGAGCCCGGGGACTCACCAGGAAGGATCTGCTCACCTCGGAGGAGGTCTGGGCTCTGCAGAGGGAGGAGCAGGAGGATTGGTGGTGCCGAGCCGGGGATGGCAGCTTTTATACCCTCCTGGAGCTGCCAGGAGCTCCAGGAGTTGTGCAAGGCACACAGCACGCCCAGGTGAGGATTTCGGGCTCCTCACCTCATCCAGGAACTGTTATCCAGGGAGGGGAAGCCCCAAACTCGTCAGGCAAAAACAAGGAAACACCAAAAATTGCATCAGGGGTCAGCGGTGGCGTTTTCTGGAACGTTCCACAAGTGTTTGGTGGAGATGATGGAGGAGGAACTTCTCTGGGTGGGGGTCTCCAGTGGGATGATGCTGGTTTTACCCAGGCGGTTTGTCACCGATGTTTTTGGTGAATTTGGCTGCTGGACAGGAGTTGGATTAAGCCCTTTTCTGACTCACAGATGGGGCAACTGAGAGGCGTTTGAAAAACTTGGATTTCATTTTGTCAGGCTTTGAAAATTCTCCGCCAGCTCACAGACAGGTGCCAGGGGTGGCCACCCCTCCAGGAGGACATTTCCCTGGATCCAGGGGACAATCCTGCCCTGTGCAACTCTGCCAGGGACATTTCCCTGGGTCCAGGGGACATTCCTGCTGCAGGTCCTGGGAGGTGGCACTTCCCAGCAGCTGGAATTGCCCAAGGATAACCCAGGGCATCATCTGGGTGATCCACACCCAGCTGTCCCCCAGGTTTGGGACCTCCCCATTGCTCCCAGTGGAGCCCATCCCAGTATTCCCAGAATTCCCAGTATTCCCAGTATTCCCAGTATTCCCAGAATGAGCTGCAGAACCCCAAGTGTCTGGAGGGGGGTGGTGAGGAGCCTCCACCCCATGTGGTCACGAAGATTTTGGGAAGTGACAATGACAGCGGTGGTGAAACCTCTCCCGCCAGGCTCCTCATCCCAGGAACTGGTGCCAGAAAAACCCAAAATTGCAAAAGAGGGAGACAAAGGGACGGGGTTTGGGAAGGGGACGGGCGCGTCCTCAACGGGAAGGGGACGCGCGTGGGCTGGGCAGAGGGACACGGGTGACACGGCAGGGACACGGGTGACACGG